ATGGGTTTAATTTCTGTTTGGTGGCATCCAACCACTCCCTGTCCTCAGGCTGACAAGCTTTCAGGACAGTAAGGGTGTGGACTTAAAGACCATATCTCCTTCAAGATAGCTTCTGGACCTGATGAAACCAAGATTGTCTTATACAAAACATATCACAGACAGGCTGGAAATTCTTTAAAATATATGTTAAAAGGGGATAAGCCTGAGAAGTCATGTTCATAGCAAAAATGCAAGGCTTCCCTTCTTGATATTGAAGGGTGGTGAATGACCCCATGCTCCTGAACAGAAAATAGACTGGGAAGAGCTGACAAGGGAGAAAGTCAAAAGGAGAAAATACAAGGTGGAGATGTCATTTGAGAAAAGGAGGGGAAAAAAAAAAATCATTTGTCAGCCAGTATGGCAGAGAGAAAAGTCCTACACAGATGGTCTTAATAATTCTTTTAATGTACAATTGAAATAAAACCCTGCAGTGTTGTGTCCTATCAGGGCTTGGCTACAGATTTGAGCTGCGAGCTCATGAGGTCTGGAAAATGTCCTAGGATTCTTGAGGTCAATCATTTATGAATTACGTTACTGATTTCCTTTTACATTTTTTTAAGCCAATTTCCTAAGTTCTCTACGTATGTTAAGATTCCTCCCAGAGTGAAAGCTCTGCACATAGACAGCTTCATTAAGTCATTAAATATTAAATGAACTAAATTAAGCTTGAAAAATTACCTCAGGCTATTTTTCCATCTTAGGTCTCTGAGATAAATCAAAATTACTACGTATTGTGCAAGAGACTCATCAGCAGGCTGAAGAGGATGTAACAGTTTTCCTTGTTTCATACTTTTGAGCTTGCTCTAGAGGATGGAGGGGGTTGAGTCATTTTATTCTTCCACAAGAAAAGAAATGGCTGACTTTTAGGAGACTCTAGCTTTCAAATATAATTTTCATTTAATAAGTTATATTGTACTTTCCACTGACTCTGTACCATATGTAAAGTATTTTAATCTCTTGAGTCCCAGTAGGAAGAGCTTTAAGATCCTTAATCTTCATTTCTTTTCCTGTCTCTCTTTCTAAATGTCCCAGCTTTGCTGGTGTGAAGCTGTCATTTCTCTCCCTCTCTCCAAATGTCATTGTCCATGCTGAGTTGTTACCTGCTGGTTATCAGCAGCTACCCAGACACTTTGCAGAAATGACTTTTAGATGTTAGAATAAAACGGAAGAGGCAGGGGAGAGCACATGTCCTCTTCTTTGCCCAGAGCAGATGGAGAACTCTATTTTCCCCCTAGTCTGGGGAAGCGACGTTCCCACGCAGTCCTTGTTCTGGGTGGCTTGTGCATGGAGAGCTGTTTCAGTTTGTTTTACTTTTTTCCGTGCAATCTGTGTGGCTAAACATTTGCTGTTTGTGTGACTCGAGTGCCAGACGCCTCCCCTGGGAAAGTAAACCAGCACCACCCATCTCGCAGATGATGACTTGAACAAAACAGCATGAGTGGGTGTTTTTGAGATGGTGCAGGAAACCTGCCAGCAATGAACCCTGATTTTCAGGCTATGCCTCAGTAATAAGTTAAATAGTGCACAGTAGGATTTACCAACCAATTTCAAAGTGTTGGGGTGAAGTTAAAACAATTCAGAAATATATTCCATGGATGACATGTTGGTGGCTGTCCTGTTTATGGGTTATAAGCCCATGGTGTGAGTGCAAGCTGATCTGTTCCTGCCAGTGTCAACGCCCAAGGGATTTTGTGTGTGTTGAGGTTACAGGTATATATGTGGCTATGGAGCCTTGTTATACTACCATGAATGGGAGGACATCCAACCTAAGGAGTCTTGTCCCACCTCCCATCTACTTTCTTTTTGTGATTTGTCATACTGTGCTTGAACATATTTTTTAATAGAGTTTATCACTTACGGACAGTGAAAAAAACTGATTTTAACACAAGGTTTACTATAGAGTTAAATTTCTAAAGGCTTTTTTATCATCAAGTACCATTTTTTTTTTGTTTTGTTTTGTTTTAATTTTGTTGATGTGCTGCAAGACTCCTGGAATATTGTGTTATTCTTGTTTCCACTGCAACCAATGAATATTTCATAGCAGTTATTAAAAAAAAGATTGTGTGGGACATATGTACGAAGGGATACCTGTGAATGTTTAAATCCAGTCAACTGAAGTTTTGAAGTTAAGGCCTTAAAACCTTATGAAAACCTTCTAGTTCAAAAGCAGATTTGCTTTAGTTTGCTGTAGCTTATTTCTCTGAACCAAAGCCATTTGATCTCTGAATGAGTGTTCCCACAGGCATTCAGTGCTCTTCAGCTTCTCTGTACTAGCTTCACCATTTCAGTTGATTTGTCTTAACTCACTTCTGAGTGTCCCTGTGAAGACAAGCCACCAAGGGTATGAGGATCAGACTATTTATTGGAACTTTGGTTCCCTTTAAGAGCAAACGTTCACATCTTGGAAATGCTATGGCAATGAGTATTCTTCCCATCATTTTGGAGTGACTTTTCAGGCTGGTAAATTCACTAACATCTCTATTAGAATTAGTGTGTCACATCTTCTTAAAGTACTGCTACATTCAAATTGTTATCTAGTTTATACAGAAGATTAAATATACCAAAGTACCGTTTAAATAATTTAGCTAAGGCTCCCTTCATGCAAGAAACAGCAAGAGATTCTTAAAAAAAAAATAATAATCCTTTGTTTTATTATTAGACGTTGATTTTTCTGAAGCCTGTGCTCTCACTTTTATTCCTACCATGCTGCTTGCAAGCAGGCTGTTTGTGTTTTAAAAGCAAAATGCAAAATAGCATTTAATTTGTAGTCCAGGCACAGAAGGCAGTTTTATTTGGCTGTGCTTAAATAAATAGTGAAGCTCGGAAGAACTTTTTAGTTTAAATATGCTGCCATCCAGTGGTTATTTTGTGTGTAAAACTGCTGCTTTTTGATTTAAGAACCTGTGGTCCTCATGCTTTTTTGTTGGTTTTTTTTTTGTTGTGTTTTGTTTTTTTTTTCCCCCAGAGTCCAATGCAAATTGTGGTTATGACAAATATTACACTTTTCACAGAGAAATGACAAATGCTTTTGTAACTTTTTAAGGATAATCACAAAAGTCTTTAAAGCCTATCAACGTGTTGCATAGGCTGCTATCTCACCCATTTGGATTCCCAAAAGATGCATATAGTTTAAATATCAGGGAGACCTTAAGTATAAGTATATAGTGGAATGTAATTGTTCATGAGTGACTGGCATCATTATGTACATCACTATTTTGTCCTTGCTATGCGACACTTTGAAATTCTGCATTTGTTCTGAATACTTATTTCGAGTGATTCCATTTTACTGCCTGAGATAAAACTTAGAGATCTAAGCCATATCCAATCGTCCTTGAAGACAAGCCCACAAAACAATTAATGATTCCTACATGTATCTATGGCATAGAAAACTTGTTTCTAGTAATAACAGAACAGATGGGACTTGATAACATGCCTATATAGAGAACAAGTAAAGCTCTGAAGATGTTTTTTTCAAAATAATTTTAGAGAGATGATTATCTTAATAAGTAGTATATTAATTATCTCTTTCCTGCAGGGTTGCTATGTTGGATTTGACCTGGCTCATGCTGTTGGGAATGTAGAGCTTCATTTGCATGACTGGGGAGTAGATTTTGCCTGCTGGTGCTCCTACAAGGTAAAATAAATTCATTGCTTGAGACTATTTCCCATAATGTCACTTATATAATGGGTCAGCAAACAGGTCAGATTAAGAACTGTACCTGAACTTTTGATCAAGACTTGGATATATCTTTGAACCAGCCCCAACGAGGAGATAGACATTGACTTTAGTGGTGGCTTAGTTACGAGAGGTTCCAAAAGACAATAGTGGCAATGACCTGAAAGGTCTTGTAGTTGTGAGATGAATGTTAGTGGTGGTTAAACATCTGCTCTGAAGCACTCCCTTTTCTGTGGTCACAGTATCAGACAATCTTCTCTTATTTCCCACACCAAGAAGGTAGGGCAGCTACAGGATTTTCTTAAGTAGTTCCTGTGTAAGAGAATATTCTTACCTAAACTTAAATAGTTTCAGATCATAGGACAAAGAATCTTTAGTTCCTTTGACTTCTCTCGAGATTAAGAATCAACAGATAAAGTCAGATGAATTGTTTGATGACTTTGCTATAGGTATTATGACATGGTACTCTTTCAGCCGTACTTCAATTTTCTAGCCTTTTGTCTGTTACACTTCAAATATCATATGTAAGCCAAGAAAGATATTTTTAGAACTAATGTGAAAAAATATATCTGCTTTTATCTATATCAGCATTTTGAGACAAATGTTAAGATCTCCAGTTAGAAACCACTAGAAATGTTAAAATCAGTGTGTTTTATAGAGCGGGGATGAGGGAAGGAAAGCTATACTTCACAGATAATGAGCAAGAGGTATACATGTTGATTTATTCTTTGCAGTATTTAAATTCTGGAGCAGGAGGCCTTGCTGGTGCTTACATTCATGAGAAGCATTCCAAAAGTATTAAACCAGCGTAAGTATATTTTTTATAACCAAATAAAAGGTGCTGTGAAGTTTAAATGAGAAAGTATCTTCCCTTTGAGTTGAGATCTTTAAGTCTATAGATTTTTGGTTGAAGACTATGGACCAGTGTATCTGTGTATATAGGTATGTATATTTGTATAGATGTAGAAGAAATTCCTTCCAAAAAAACTCATCGAGCTAATATCTGTTACTGACATTGCATCAATTAAAAGGATATTACAAGTTTAGATAACTTGGTTATCTGCATTTGCTACCTCAGATGGGTTATTTTATGTTAATGTTAGTAAGTTTTGAAACTGTTAATATACATACTCACATCTTAAATGCGTATCCTCCTTGAAGTCTGCTATCAGTTCTAAACTAAATATAATCATAAAAGAGAATGCTTATAATATTAAAAACAAGTGAGCTAAATCATGCCTATGAGACTGTTTAATGTAAAGAGAATATTTAACATCTTCCTTTAAAAACTGGGTTTTTTTTAAATCATTGAAGTCTTTGGTTGATGAACAAAATCAAAGACAATTTCAACTCTGTGTCTAATAGCTCTTTAATACTGGCATGTTTTCATTAAAATTATATCCATTCGTAAAGCTAGGAAGCATTACCCGGAGATCTGCCTTCTCAAAGACTCTATAATCCATGAAAAGCTATGCTATCAACTGAGGTTAACTGCATTAAAAAAAAAATACCTGTTATTTAAAATGTTATATGTCTGTACTTTATGTACGTGTATTAAGAACGGTGGGATTAATGCTTTTAATGCACTGCCAAATGTAAACATTTCATTCTGGCTATAACGCTTGGAGAAATTGCTGGCACTCACTTTTATTTTAGCTTGAAGAAAGCAAACTAAATCAGGTTTCAGAGAGAAATAATATTATAATAAGCAGCTTCACTGCACCATGTGCTGGTTTCAGACTGTCTAGACTCCCAGGAGATAACAAAATAACACTGATAAGTTCTTCTCAGTCACCCATAACAGAAAACTCATTAGGATGACATACGACCTGTTGTGAGCTGATTCGATCCTCACATGTGAACACTGGAAAAATATCTGGATATTTCTTCTGGAAAGTGTTTTGCTGGGGGTTTGGGGGGTTTATTTTGTTGTTTTTTTTTTTGTTTCCCATTATCCAGGTGCAGTCATTGCTCTCATGGCCAAACCTCTGCACCCTGGTTCTGGGGAGCTGGGGAGATGCTGAGCAGTGAAAAAATGTGGGCCAGGTAGAAGTCACAGACTAACAATAGGAGGAATGAATAAAATCTCAAGGACTTTGAATCTTTTTTCTCCTTGGTGAAACTTTGAAACTTCTGTGAAAGTACTAGCTTGGTATTGTAGGTAAGAGCTTAAATTAGGTTTTTTTGAACCAGCTTCTTCATACATAGTCATTAACTTGCATACTGAGTCCGGATAGTGAATGTCTTAAATACAACTGCCTATATGAAATAAGATTTTTCAGCCTGGGGTCCAGTTAAGGATATAATTCCAAACTTCCTGCATAGACCTTTTGCATTATTTAATCATAGTTATTTCATATATCCTGAAATTTGATAATCACTCATCAAATTGTTTGTACCTGACGTGCCTCAGTTGCATTACTTTTCTTTCTTTTCTGCATCAACCAGCCATTTCAGGTCTCCAAATAAGGCAGTGAGACAAAGGAGAATTTGTCTATGTCAAAGTATTCAATTTTATAGCTGATTTAAATGCAGAGCAATTTGCTGTATGTTATACAATCAAATAGAGTGGAATTTAACTGCTCTGGAAGTTGCAGGTTTTATGTTGTATCTAAAAAGTCTTTGGCTGTCATCTGAATCAAGGATGACACCCAGTGGCCAGACAGCTTCATTCAAAAACAGACACACCAAACACTTTCGTTTCCTTGCATCTCAGCCCACACATAAGTGAGTAAATAAATTCCAATCCAACTGATATCCTTTTGTCATTTAAACTATCTGAAATATTGTTTTTAACTCATGGCCAATATTATGCAAGTTGTTTTACCCACCTATATAGATTTCTTTAATTTGTCTCACCCTTCATATTTTCTGCAAGCTATTGATTAGGTAGTTATCTTTGTATCAAAATAATGTATTGTATTTTAATATAAAAATACATCTTACCATTCAGAGAGGCAGAGCTAGAATGTTTGCCAAGTGTCTTTGCCTGTTACTGACTGAGGCTGGGGCAAAAAGGACTTAGGTACTTACTGAAAATTAAATATCTCAACCCAGAATTTGAATTTTAAACTCCCAACATCAGCTACTGCCCATCACCAAAGGCACTTGTTTTAACTTCCCTTAACTTCAAGAGCATGCTTTTGTCCATGCCCAGAGTCTTGCTAATAAGAACAGTGTAAGCAATAGGTGCTGGTGTTGTAGTTATGCACAGTTTCAGGAACTGGTCTCCCCTCCAGCTGCTCCCCATGGGCTCCATCCAGAGCCTGCATTTTGGACAACAAAACACTTATTTGCTGTTACTTTCTTTTAAAATACAACTTAATAAAGAATTATTAATTTATTTAATAGCCTTACCACCAGCAGCTGGGGCTGTGCTGAAACTGTTTTCTGCTTTGACGCTACAGACAGAGGTTGTGGCAGCCTAACTGCAAACCTGTGCTACCCAAACCCGGTGTTTTTCAGTAATATCATGTAACTTCCCAGCAGACAAAAGGCAACACCAATCCCACTGCTCTTCTTTATGGATATGTAAGCTTCTTACAAGAATTTTAAAAATTCATAATTCACTAACTTGGAAAAGGATTTTATGCCTAAGAGCAAGGTTTGATCCTAGCTGGCAGATGGAGGCCAGGGACAATACAGACTCTCATGTCCCCTTCTTGTTTTGCGTCACCGTCAAGAACTCCCTGGCTTAGGTAGACGTAGTTCTTTAATTCACAGCAAGGGCCATGAGTCTGAAAGTTAAGTGTTGTAACCATCCTAATTAACACCTGTACCCAAGTGTGTTGGGTAGGCCTTTGCTAGTCCCCCATCTTTCTTCCTGGAGCAGTAAAACTGAATCAAGCTGACATATATGGGTCCAATATATCCCTATTCTCTTATGATCTCACCTCCTTTGAAGTCTCTTTTAATACTCAAATAGCTTTTTTAATACTTGCTCTATATATCACAGTGCAGTATATTCTTGGCTAATTGTGTTAAAGTGATTTCTCTATGGGAAGGTTTCAAATAATAAAAAAAACCCCAGACCTGGACAGAGCAGAGCTATGAAACACTTCTGAAATTTTTTGGTCAGTGCAGGCTGATTCTGTACCACCAACTTTCCATATAAATGCAGTTTTGTTGTGGAGAGGAGAACACTCTTTGAGAACACTGTTTGAAGACAGAGAACACTAAGGTGACCTACTAATAGTGAAATTTTTCTTGATTAACTTTCTGGGCTCCAGAAAAGTATGGGGTTTTTTTGTTTGCTTGGTTGCTTGTTTTTTGTTGTTTTTTTTTTTTTTCTTTTTGTCTTCCCTTGTTTCTCAATTTCTTCATTTATAAAAGAAGGATAATTAAAATCTACCAAGTAAATTAACTACACAGAAATGTGAATGTTTGTGAGCACCTGGGACAGAAGGTCAGGAGAAGTCAGGTGTTCACAGTAGAGTATCTACAGCTGTAAATGTGCAGTGAGTTCAGCTCTGCTGTCAGCTGGCATAAAGGACATGAGGGGACAAACTTGCAGAGTCCTGATATAGGAGAAGAAAAAAAGTGCTAGTCAAACCTCCGTAAGAAAATGTAAGGCACAATTTTAAAAGATGAAAGGGAAATAAATGTATGTAAAGCAGCAGGAGAATAATAGATAAGCCTTGGCAGAGGATTAAATGAAAATTGTACACAGTCTAGTGTTTAAAATGAAAGGATTTATCAAGACTTAACTTTAGCACAGACCAGCAGCAGGTAGAGTTTAAAAATAAAAAGTTTCTGTGATATGAAGAAATGCTGTATGTGCAGGAAGTAGCTCATGTCCAAAGAGTGTGTTGGCTTTTAGTATAGGATAAAAGAGTATCAAAGAACGAGAAACAAAAGGGTAACTGCTTTGAGAAACACAAGGTATCTTCAGACAATTTCTTCATAGACATAACTGAGATATCAACCCTTTCTTTTAGCTTGTTTTCCTTTTGGTATCTTGATTCCAATGAAAATGCCAGAGCA